ATACAGCGAATCAACTGACGAATAAAATAATGAACACATTATTACATCAGAGATCTCACAACCCTAACATAAATAAAAATGAATATTACGCATTAAAACAGCTGAGAGAGGATAAAACGATCATAATAACGAGAGCAGATAAAGGTAATACTCCAGTTATTATGAATAAAACAGAGTATGAGAAGAAAGCCAAGGAACATCTACAAGAGGGTCCATATGAACAAATCAAAGAAGCAAAAAGTAGAACAACTCTTAATAAACTCAAGGTGGAAACTAGCAAACTCTTACAGTCATTAAAAGCTAAGCTAGGATCGTCCTTATGGTTTATGTTATATCCAAAGAGTTGTAATCCATGCAGATTTTATGGGCTACCAAAGATTCACAAGAATAATACTCCACTAAGACCAGTGGTAGACTATACAAATTCACTGACTTACAATCTAGCTAAATATTTAGCTAAGATTCTCAAACCATATGAAAAACGGATTAATCATCGAATTAAAAACTTTATGGAATTCAAGAATTTAATTGATACCATCGATATAGAAGAAGACGAAATAATGGCAAGTTTTGATGTATCTTCCTTATTCAACTAATGTACCTATCAGTCGAGCTATGGACATTATCAATGATTGTTTAGAATCTGATTTAAATTTGAATTTACGATGCCCATTAGATCCATCAGAGGTTATAAAATGCTTAGAATTCTGTTTAAGATCTACCTTATTCATATCTCGAAGTCAACTTTACAGACACAAGGAGGGTATAGCAATGAGCTCATCAGTTTCTCCGATTGTAGCGAATTTATTCATGCATTCCCTAGAAACTAGTGCAATCGCAAAGAGTTTATGTCCACCAAAGTTATGGTTAAGGTATGTAGACGATATTTTTATTATCAATAAACGGGATGGTCTAGAAGAACTATTTAACAATGTAAACAACATTTCTGAAAACATTCAACTAACTAAGGAATTAGAATCAGTTGACCACAAACTAGCATTTCTAGATTGTCTGGTTGAACGTCGACACAATAATAAGTTAAAAATAAATGTTTACAGAAAATCAACACATTCCGAGAGATACTTGGATTTTAATTCAGCCCATTCACAAAGAACGAAAATTAATGTAGTGAAAAATCTAATGAACAGAAGTACTAAAACTCCGCTTGTAGCACTTCTAGAGTTACTGCCGGTCCCAAGCCCGGGTAAAGGAGGAGGGTTGGGCATTGGGTTAGCGTCCCCATCCCGTAGAAAACTAACTCCCTAATAAAACGCTTGCCAGAAGAAGTACTAAGATTGTTACAGACAAGGAAGACCAACGAACCGAATTAAATAAAGTATTTTCTACTCTTAGGGATAACAACTACCCAAAAAGGTTTTTAAAGAAGATTATTCAAAATGAAAGAAAACCTAAACTAGAAAGTATACGAAAAGAATGGAAGTACACCGTAATCATACCTTACCGTAGTGAAACATCAGAAGAAATCAAACGGATTCTAAACAAACATGGTATAAGAGTGTATTTTAGAGCGAATAACACATTAAGATCGACATTAATGAAAGTTAAGGACAAATTAGCAAAGGAAGAACAACAGAACATTGTGTATGAGATTCACTGTCATGACTGTAATGCTACCTATGTTGGAGAAACATCCAGGCAATTGAATGTAAGATTGAAGGAACACAAACAATGCTTGAAAAATGTTCCAAAATCCTCGGTCGATTTAAAGAAACTTGAAAATAAGTCAGCGATAGCGTTATATGCGTTAGAAACAGGACACAAGATTAATTTTGAAGGGACCAAAATACTTCAGAAAGGTTTTAACACTCATAAAGAAAGATTGACAGCAGAAGCGCTGCATATATGGGCGAACAAGAACAGCCTGAACTGAAAAGATGATATTCAACTGGCGACAACTACCTGGCAAATTTCATTTGACAAGTAAAATTTGGAACCTATCTCTTGTTTAAACCTGTTTTTTTATATCACATCCATCGTTATTATTATTTTTGGAAGAATTTAATGAGTTTTTTAACCAATACAATTTATTCACTTGATATTGTTTTACTTGAATTTTCCCATTGATGTTTTTTTGGACTGAAATTGATCAGTCTCTTTTATTGGCATATGTGCATACTGTGTGTATGCCTCGATATTGCCTAAATTTACAAGCATTGCACAAGCAAGTGGCTATCAGGACTCAGTAGCTAAGTGGATAACGCGATGGCGTTTGGAGCGATCGGTACTGAGTTCGAGTCCCAGAGTGAACATCAACTCTGAGATGCAGGTACATCCAGCTGACGAGTCCCAAACAGGACGAAACGCGCGTCCTGGATTCCACTGCTAGCCACTATCCATCTTTGCTTATAATACAATTTATGTTTTGACATGTACATCGATGTTTCATCCTTGAACTTACACTTTTATTTATTCCTTCATATCAATCTCTCACACATAGATACATACCTACACACTCACACACATACAACTTGGTTACTAAGTTAAGTATTTCCATGTAGTTGAATTCATCACATGATTTGTAGTCAACTGACTCATTTTATTCTATTTTACAAAAAATCAACATCCAAATTTTGATTGGTGTAACACAGTATAATCCTGATTGGTAAAAAGCGATATATTTCTTTGATAATTTTGATTATTCCACCCTGAAGAAGTCCAGCAAGTGAGCTGGACGAAACGTTGGAATTAGTTACATTTCAATCGCTGAGATTATTTCAAATACAATGAGTCCTATTAAATATTCACGATTATTCATCTATCTGAACACAAATATTGGATACATATGCACCACAAAAGTCACTTGATTTGTGTGTGGGTTATGATACTGCCCGGGTGCCAAAACAGAACCAGATGGTTTTCTTAGGAGGTCACACTCGGAGCCTTCAACATAAAGATCTGATACACAAGGCGATGGAGCAACGTGAGGAGATGCAATCCTATGGTAGCAGGTGATCAACAATCGGTTTATACACCGATTGTTCCTTCAAGATCCTGGAGCCCATGTGCAACATCGGTTTGTAATACGAGTTTTCCAACTCCCCTAGATGAATTCTCCGTACCCAACAACCCGGCTAAACTGCCAGACATTCGCTTTTCATCCTCTCACTTTCGTAAACAACAGTAATGCCACGAAAAGGCGGCGAGTAGGACTCACCTATCAGTGGCTGTATACGCATAGTCATGTGAGAGCATTTCGACAGGGAGAGCGGACTCTCCTCATTCTCAATCATACCAGGGCATTTGAAGGCGTATTTATGACTAATAAAGTTTAATGATGTTCAGTTTCAGAGAAAATATCACAATTATCAACAGATTGAAATTTTAAATGTAAACTATTGCATACCAACCTACAGGTTTAAAGGTTCAACGTTCATGAATGTTCACTGCTGATGAAACAACTATCGATTGGTACTTGCTTTTCAATACTTACTTAATTAGGCTCAGTCTAGATTCGATTTTGATACTTGTGGAACGAAACAATTACCATGTAAATACAACTATCGATGTAAAATAATTCAATCAATAAGCTAGTGTATTATTTTCCGTCAGATTCATCCACAAAAACATATGCCTCTTTGATGTGTTAGTATAAATTTGAGCATGGATACAGAAGGCTCGACTAGTTTGTGCCAACTTGCGTCATTTATGGTGTAGGCGAGATATCCGTCTTCCAAACAAAGGACGGGTTTACTGTGCAGTAGTTCGTTCCGTCCTAATTTATGGCAGTGAACCATGGCCGGTAAGAGTAGAGGATATCCGTAGGTTACTAGTATTCGATCGTAGTTGTCTTCGAAGCATTGCTCGTATATCCTGGGACCGCCGAGTAAGCAATGCAGTTGATAGGAAACGGGTACTAGGTAAGGATGGCAAATCAATTAATGAAGTAGTGAAACTTCATCAGTTCAGATGACTGTAACAAGTGTTGCGTATGCCCAATCACCGACTGCCTCGAAGTTCGACGTTTTGTTGCGTAGGAGTAGGTTGGAGGAAAGCTAGTGGCGGTCAAACCAAAACATGGCACAAATCCATGAAGTCACTGACAAGTGGACTGAGCCATGTTGGTAAGTGTGGACTGTCTGGTTGGGATCAGCGAGATGATAGCGACCGATGGTTAGAGACGTTGAATGTGACATAGCTCGAAATCATTTGCAATGGCGTTGGTGCATCCAGTCTTTGTGTTCTCCCAAATTCTAATCTTCTGAATTCTTCATGTTCCCATTTTTTCTTCTCTTTCCAAATTTATTTCACTGACTTATACTCCTTGAATAACATCTTCAAAGCCTAATGTTTCCGATTACTGCTTATACTTCTACTATCTCTATCACTATGGGATTTGAATCGACAATTGAAACTCTGTGTTAATGTGGTATGGCAACTTGAAGTGATGTACGTACATACCTACGAAGTTCTATGCTGTTGATGACTGACTATATAACACTACAACAATAGATCAATTATTCATTGTACGGAAACGTGAAAACTCACATTGCCGAAATACAAACAAACATCAAATGTACAAAAACTTGGATCAAACAGGGGTATAAACGAATTTAGTTATAATTCACTTGGTATTGTTTTACTTGAATCTTCTCACTGATATTTAGGACTGAAATTGATCAATCTCTTATTGGCATATATGCATACTGTGTGTATTGCTTACTAGGGCAAGGGCGGCCTGCTTGATCATCTGGGCTACCTGTTCCTGTCATCTAGATATTTCAACAAGTTATCTATTTTTGTTTGCTTTAATATATCATTATATTTATTAATCGCATAACCTATTCTGCTGCGTTTCTGAAAAGTGTACAACCTTTCGTTGTCAAAGTTACAGAAAACTCAATAAGAGACAATATGGTTGCTGGCAATATACAACGAAAAGAATGTACATTATTCAGTTGTTCATTCACTGAAGTGCTAACATCTAACTGGCTATCACTCAATATTTATCGTCAGGATCGACGAAGAAGAAGGAAACGGAAACTTGTTGAAATGCTTTACTCTGAGAATTCTATATTGTACCAAAAAATATAATATTGAATAAAGCTGATAATAATAAAAAATAAATTTACAAGCATTATAAGCAAAGCTGACGAGTCCCAAATAGGACGAAACACGCGTCCTGGATTCCACAAAACAAGAATATGATTGTTAAAAATAAATAGAATAACAATATAAAAAACAAACATTTACAATTGGAATAAGCATTAAATCAGTCAGTTATTTACAATGTAGGACCAGGCATATATATGTATCGATCCAAGTTATTACAGTTCATTCATTAGCACAACAAGATGAACACTGAATTCATAGAAATAATAGTTAACTCAATGATGTAATATATAAAGGAAAGATTTTATGTAAGGATATAGTACAGAAAGAAAGTTTAAGGAAAGACAAAGAGTGTATACACCTAAATAATGAATGACAAATAAAGTATTGTAGTATGTTTCCATTCGTTGATGGATATATCTATATCTGATAATCGATCAATATGAAACTTACGATTCTTTCTATGCATTTCCAACCTAGTCGTGTTTTAGAAATATACATATAAACATATGAAATAGGTGTTTGGATTATTTTTTTAGGGGATGAGATCGCTAAACCCATGCCCAAACCTCTTCCTTTATCTGGGACTTGAGACCGGCGCAGTAGTCTCAAAAGGGCTCCAGGCGAAGATGATGAACTAGCTTTTCTATCATACATGCATCAATAAATACAGGAGAAGATGATCAGTGTAACATCAGCCTCATAAGCAGTAGGTCTCAACATACACAAAGGGAAAAGTAAGATTCTTCGATACACCACAAATGCACCAATCAAATCACATTTGGCGAAGATTTGGAGGATGTAAAAACCTTTACATATATGGGCAGCATCATTGATGAGCACAGTGGATCTGATGTAGATGTTAAGGCGCGGATGGACAAAGAAAGGACAACATTCCTACACTTGAAGAACATACGGAACTCAAAACAACTGTCAATCAACACCAAAGTTAGAATTTTCAGTACAAATGTCAAGACAGTTATACTGTATGGGGCGGAAACTTTGAGAACTACGAAAGTCATCATCTAGAAGATACAACAGCAACAAACTACTGTGAGAGAGAACAAACAAGATCCCATCGGAGGAAGAAAACAGGAAGAAGCGTTGGAAGTGGATAGGACACATATTGAGGAAAGCATCCAACTGCGTCACAAGACAAGCACTCACATGGAATCCTGAAGGCCAAAGGAAAAGAGGAAGACCAAAGAACACATTACGCCGGGAAATGGAAATAGACATGAGAAAAATGAACAAGAATTGGATGGAACTAGAAAAGAAGGCCCAGGACAGAGTGGGTTGGAGAATGCTAGTCGGTGGCTTATGCTCTATTGGGAGTAACAGACGTAAGTATAGTAAGTAAGTAAGATGTTGAATCAACTAGCTGGAGAACAGACACATGTAGAGTATAACTAAGTTCCAATCATTTCGAAAGGCATCAAGATACACAGCATACTACCATACGAGAAGGTTCTAGGAGAGCTTCATTTACTGTCTTTACTTTTTCTTACTTTCAATTTTTTTTCCGTTACATCGTTGCGGTTTCACGTTTCGTCTAAGCTCAGGAAGAGAATTGTGATAATGGCAATAGTTATCAAACCAAAACAATTATCTTACATTCAAGCACAGTGAGCCAGAAATAGGAAACTGTCTCACACGTCAAAATGATCAACTTTTAACCATTAATCCATCAGTTTAAACATCTTCCCACCGTACTTAAAGTTTCAGTACAAGGATGGTATTCAGTTCGCCCATGTATGTACAATGCGAGACTTAGAAACGCCATGTATTTATACATACACTTTATAATGAACTTAAATTTAAATTAATCATTTCGAATTACTTAGCATATCCAGTAGTCAAAAATATTGTTCCTAGAGAAAGTTACTAAATATGGAAGATTATTAGGTCATAATTGATTGGTCACTGGGTGGCGATCAATGTCATGCGTGTCTAGTCCTTATTAGTGCAGATCGAATACTATCGGCCATGTTGCAATATGGCCACCAGTCTAGGTGACTCGACACTGCGGGCACTATCTAGTCTCAAGATTATTAGGTCTCTTAGTTACTATACGAGATGTGTCAAATGACTCTCTGTATTAATGCTATACAGATCCTTACATGCATTGGAGAGTTGTTCAAATGACATTTCATAGACAAATGATTATAACACTAGTTCTAAGAATGTAGAATGATAACTACACATCAATTTTCATTCTCTCAAACACATGATTTGTATGCAAAAGTACGTTCAACTTCGACTGGATTAATTGAACCTTGTGTAATTAAGAATGTGGATTGTCAATTAGTTAGATGAGATTGAACTAACTGATATAATATCATACAGTAAAATAGAAAATTCACTTTTGTATTGGTTGTTTGAATCTTCCCATTGAAATTTAGGATTGTAATTGAACAGTCTCTTGTTAGTATATGTGCATCCTGCGTGGATAGCCTTGATTATTTATTTAAACACATAAACATTGGTACAAGAAGGCACCAAATACATATGCACCACACTAGTCACTTGATTTGTGTGAGGGCTGTGATAGTGACCGGGTGACCAAACCGAAGCAGGTGGTTTTCTTAGGGGGTCACACCCAAAACCTTCGGCCTGAAGGTTTGATCCACAAGGCAGTGGAGCAACGTAAGGAGATGCAGTCCCATGGTAGCCGGTGACCAACGATTGGTTCATATGCCATTTTTCCCCGTAGGTTACTGGAACCCATGTGCACCATTGGTTTGGAATCCGGTTAAAGCGCCGAACATTCGCTTTTCGTCCTCTCAATTTCGTAAACAACACCCCTGGTAGGAGAAGGCAGTGAGTAGGACTTCCCTTGCAGAGACTGTATACGCGTGGCCGTGTGAGAGCATTACGAGAGGGAGGGAGGGCCCACCCCACTCTCAGCCATACCAGGGCATTTGGGGGCGGATAGCCTTGATACTGAGGGATGTATATATGCCAACATAAGACTGATCAACTGTAGTCCTAAATATCAATGGTAAGATTCAAACAACCCATATAAAAATGAATTTACACTTCATCCCATTGCACAAGCTAGTGGCTATCAGGAGTCAGTAGATAAGTCGATAACGAAATAGCGTTTCAAGCGAACGTTACCAGGCTTGAATTTCACAGTGAACATCAACTCTAAAATGTAGATACATACAGCTAACTATTCATCTCTGCTCAAACTAGAAGATTATATACTCGAAGTTAAAGATTTCTTCTACGATACACTCTCTCCAGTTACCTTTAGACACGATATACTACAGAAAAAAATGTCACACTTTACTTACATCAGATAAACTTTGTTCAATATACAGTAAAATTAATACAAAGTATTATAAAATGTAACTACTTACACATAAGAAAAATAAAAAACAACAATTGAGATTCAGTAAAAAACCAACACATAATAAAAAAAAAGAATCAATTCTTAAATGGTTGAGATTGTAAAACACAAGATGATGATAATGAACGTTGAAATAAAGTATTACTAGTAGTTAATAAAGTACCATCATTGTTTAATTGATACATACCAATTGATGGAGTTGATGTAATCGGTAAAATCACTCGTTGTTGTTGTTGGTGATGGTGGTGATGATGATGAGGAGGAGGAGGATTTTGTGGAATATGTTGAAGAATCGATGGTTGTGTTAAAGAGAAATGTGGTTGATCAGTGATATTAGATGAATTGGTTATGTTGGGGGATTGAGAATGATGACGTATAGAACCATTTAAATTATTCTTATTCTTATTATTATTCAATTGACTTTTAACTTGTACACAAGAAGTCATATGAAAAGGCCAATGTTTCGACTGGCAAGTACTATTGCAATACGATGTATTCCAACAACAATAATAATAGGCTATACGTCCACAATATGCACACTATAAGATGTATTTAAACAAAGAAGAAGAAAAAACGGAGTCAATTCAATTATATAAAATGAATGAATATGATTTCAAAATAAGTTAGTGTACAACACGTTAGATTATCTTCTCAAATAATTAAAATCAATGTATCAGTCGAGATTGGGGAGAGTCAGCTTTCTCTTGAGTAATGCTCTCAAGTGGCCACATGTATATAACCACTACCAAAGAAGTCCTACTCACTGCCTTCCCACAGTATTACTGTTAATTACGAAATTGAGGGAATAAAAAACCAATATCCGGCGCTCTAACCGGGCTGGTGTACGAAGGATCTATCTAAGGGAGTTGAAAAACCCTGGTGTACCAATGGTGTATATGGGCTCCAGGATTCTAAGAAACCAAATGGTATATGAACAAAGTGTTGGTCACCTGCTACCATGCGACTGCATCTCCTCACGTTGCTTCACTGCCTTGTGGATGAGACCTTTAGGTCAAAAGCTCCGAGTGTGACCCATACAAAATGATTATATTTGGTTAAACAGTAATGACAATACACATGGTGACAAATCAGTTGATTTTTAAGAAAATTTATTGAATATTTTAAATAATAGAAAAGATGATAAGATATGTGTATAAACAGAAATGTGATCTTGAATGCTCTTAGAGGTATCAGGGTTTGTTACTTCTCGGTTGCCCATAGCCCATACCGTAGAAGGGTTCTTCTGGATGTACCTAAAATTAGGTTACGGGTGGTTTTATTGACGTGAGAGTGTGACTACAGTGCCCAAGCGGACAACTGCTTGAGGTTGATCACACACAACCTTTTTGTGAGTAATTTTCATGTTGGTCTGATTAGCCCTAATGGGTTGGTGTCTGACGAAATCTCTGCACGGATTCAAAAAGGTCGTTTGGATTTTGCCAACCTATGTTACCTATGACGAAGGTAAGATATCCGTCTATCAATTAAGGGACGAGTATACTGTGCAGCAGTTCGTTCTGTTATATTTTACGGCCGCGAAATCTGGCCTTTAAGAGTAGAAGATACTCGTAAACTACAAGTATTCGATCACAAATGTCTTGGAAATATTGCTTGCATCTACTGGGATCGCCGGGTAAGTAATGGTGAGGATAGACACAGGGCATAAGGGAATGATAGTAAATCAGTTGATGAGGTTGTGATTTTGCATCGACTGAGATGGTTGGGCCACGTATTACGTATACCTGAACAACGATTACCACGACGTGCAATGCTAACCGGTGTTCGGGATGGTTGGAAGAAAGTTAGGGGCTGACAAACCAAAATGTGCCATCAGTGGTTGAAGTTACTAACTTGTGTTGTGAGCCATGTAGATAGATGGAGACTACTTGGTTGGGGTCTGCATGACTATCGTAAACAATGGTTGGAGACTGTGAGTGACATGGCTCAGAATAGATCACAATGGCATAGGTGTATACACTCTCTGTCTTCCCTTAAACTAAGGGATTAAAATTGCTTCATATCTTTCTTTCTACGAACTAATTCTTTTTTCCCGTACTATATCCTTATATGCAATCTTTCTTTTATATATTATCACCTCTGAATTAACTACTTTTATGAATCCGGTGTCCATCTTGTTGCGTTAATGAGGTATGGCAACTTGGACCGATGCATATATGTGCCTGGTCCTACGTTGGAGCTGACTGACTGACTGACTTAATGACATAATAATTAACAATAATTAAAGAATTAAAACAAATGAGATGAGTTGGGATCAATAGTGTAAGTGTATCATTGTTTACAATAACATACCAACTGATGTTATATCACTAAAAGGGATCAGGAAAAACATCTATACACAGAATTTATTGATAGTTGGAACTGATCAACAAGCAGTGTCTCTGTATTCTTATTTATTTTAACACATAGATATTGGTACAAGGAGGCACCAAATACATATGCGCCACAAAAATCTCATTTGATATGTGTGAGGGTTGTGACACTGCTCGGGTGCCCAAACCGAAGCAGGTGGTTTACTAAGGGGGCCACTCCCCGAGCTTTCGACCTGAAGGTTTGATACACAAGACAGTGGAGCAACGTGAGGAGATGTAGTCCCATGGTAACCGGTGACCAACAACAAGTTCATACATCACTTGTTCCTTCAGGATATTGGAGCCCATGTGCACCATTGGTTTATAATCAGGGTTTTCCAACTCTTCTAGGTGGGCTCTCCATGTCCACCAACCCGGTTAAATCGCCGGACATTCGCTTTTCGTCCTCTCAATTTCGTAAACAACAACCCCGCCACGAGAAGTCAATGAGTAGACCTCCTGGAAGAGACTATATACACGTGACCATGTCAGAGCATTTCAAGAGGGAGAGCGAACTCTTCCCACTCTCGGCCGTACCAGGGCATTTGGGGTCCTCTGTATTCTTAAGGAGACTAGTGATCGGCATGAGATTTAGACTTAATGTTATAATAATGAGAGTTAGGCAGCATTAAGAGGGTTTTTGTTGATAACTTTCAAAAAACTACACTGCAATATCAAGTCACCTGGAAATGTTGTTCTAAAGTATCTCATCAGAACAAAATATGAATGTTGAAGAAATCAAGTTTAAAAAGGATAAAATCTATGAATATACATTTATACAAATTTCAAAACATTCAATTACTGAATACAACTTACCCATTGACGACGTTTTACAATATCAACAATTCTTATCACATCATATTCCCATATTCTACTAGCAGCTTCCATAATAGCAATAAGTTCATCATTCCATATTCTACGTAATTCACCTATACGACGTTGCATTTCTAATCCCATTTCAGCACGTGTATATCTAACTAATACATTTAAACGTTGAACTTCTTGTTCCATACGAAGAATTTCTGCTTCCATCATACGTTCTTGTAATGTTGGTGGTCTATAATCATTTAATATAGAAAGATCTGTAGATACTTCCATTATATCGGTTTGAACTGATTTTGTATCGTTGATCACATTTATAGTTTTCAATGATTTGCTATCATCTAATAGATGGATATCATTATCAGTTTGTATCGCAACATCACAACAAATTGGATGTAAATTTGGTAGTTCTGAATTAGTCAATGGATAAACACCAACTACAATGGAACAATATATATATTCTTATTGTGACAAATTAAAACAGGGAAAAATCAATAATTTATCGATGTATATTACAGGAAGGGGTTCTGTGGAGATTGTAGTGACTTAAACAGTTTGAGATTATGAGTCAATTAAAGCTAGACCACCATGGAAAACCTGGAAGCACTGGACGGCCGTTTCGTCCTATTGTGGGACTTCTCAGCAGTGCGCATACATGACCCCGCCTCGCGGACTCGAACCCAGGACGATCATTATGACAAAAATAATCTAATATGAATGATGATGTTAAATATGCCCATTAGATCTGTTATGATCTGATTTTCAAGAGTTCTCAGTATTTATTAGTATAGTGTTTGTTTTATATACACCAATTGAAGTTAGACATTAACACTGTTGGATGCTGGTTAGCTCAGTGGTCTAGAGGTTAAGCGTTCGCGCGAGAAACTGATAAATCCTGGACTCGAATCTCGTGAGGTGGGATCGTGGATGCACATTGCTGAGGAGTCCCGTACTAGAATGAAACGGTTGTCCAGTGCTTTTAGGTTTTCTATAATGGTCTAATTTCAATTGACTCATGAATCCAACTACTAAATTAATTGAAGTATGTTGATAAGTTTCAAGGAAATAAGATACATTTTGAAAGACTTCTTAACATGTAAAGTTGTAAAATTGGCACTTATTTACCTAGTACAATATATAAAGGATGAATAGCAACTGGAAATGATTACCCAGGAAAGGGTTGAATGAAGAATACTGGTGGGCAGTATATGCTCTTCCACGACGGGTAACAGGGGTAAATAACAAAATAAAATAAATACATTTAAAAAAAAATCTCGATGATAATTAACAAATAACAATTCACTGTAGTTAGAAATGTAAATCTTCGTGTTATATCACTAGCTAGTTGCTAATATCACTGAATGTAGTTTTTTTAAAGACCTCTGTGTTAGCATAGGGTGAATAATGAGAAGGTAGATAAGCTTAAAACTATTTTAAGAAGAGGAAAGCAGCAGGACCTAACAATATACTAGTTGAAGCACTGAAGTCAGACATCGAATTAACTACAAACATGCTTAACCTTTTATTCAAGAAGATTTGGGATGAGAAACAAGTGCCAATGAACTGGAAAGAAGGTCACCTCATCAAGATTCCAAAGAAAGGAGATCTCAACAAATGTGAGAATTACGGAGGCATCACACTACTGTGAGTAACAGGGAAAGTCTTTGACAGGATGTTGCTGAATTGGATGAAAGACGCAGTAGACGTCCAACTTCGAGATCAACAGGCTGGATTCCGTAAGGATCGGTCGTGCACAGACCAAATCGCGACACTACGGATCATCGTCAAACAATCAGTTGAGTGGAACTCGTCACTGTACATCAATTTTATTGATTATGAAAAGGCGTTTAACAGTGTGGATAAGAGAACATTATGGAAACTACGGAGTTCCTGAGAAGATTGTTAACATTATCCGGAGCTCATACAACGAACTATAGTGCAAAGTAACAGGTGTAAGTAATTTTAAGAAGAATCATTAGAGACATTTTTATAGTATAATTATCACACGACTGAACTAATGTATCTTTTTGAAATCTGCCTAGTATGGTAAGCTTCCGTTGGACAAGTTAACTACTATTATACATCTTACTATCCTTAAATCATTGTTAATTAATTTTCTACCTCATGCTAAGTTTGGTTAGCTTACTTTTAGCGAGTTAGTTAGTCCGTTAGAAATGGACAGGACACACATTGAGGAAAGCACACACCTGTGTCACAAGGTAAGCCCTCGCTTGTAATCCTCAATGCCAAAGGAGACGAGGAAGACGAAAGAACACATTACACCGAGGAACGGAGACAGATATGAGAAGAATGAACAACTGGATTGAACTAGAAAGGCCCAGGACAGAGTTGTTTGGATGAATGCTGGTCAGCGGTTTATACTCTGTTGGGAGTAACAGGCGTAAATAAGTAAGTCATGCCACGTTTCCTATTACTTATGAATTGGTTGTATATAAGATAAGATTTATTTATTTGTGATGTGATAATCAATATATGTAAGCGTGTGTTTTGGTTGTTTTGATAAGCAAAAGTAAAAGTTTTATCTTCTTGTTGTATCTGTGTTCCGATTGACTACCATGCTAGAGAGATGTTTCATGCTGAACAGATAGAAGTAAAGATATTAGCGGTTGTTCCACAAGCCTGATGGTTGTCAGTCAAGTCTTGTCATCGATTAAAGTAAATTATGATGGTCTATGTTTAAAAAAGAAGAAGTTGTAAGTAGCTGGTGATAATCCAAGTAATAAATGAACTTATATCATACTGCTACGTTAGCTATTCTCATTTTATTCAGATTTTTAAATCCAAAAGATTATATAAATAATACACAGATGTTCGACGATTAAGCTCAATATAATTAATGACAGGGTGTGGGATCGTGGATGCGCACTACTGAGGAGTCCCATACTAGGATGAAACGGCCGTCCAGTGCTTCCAGGTTTTCCATGGTGGTCTAGCTTCAATTGACTCATGATTTCTACCAGTGAAATTTCTAAAATCTCCACAAAACCCCTTCTGATAAAAGCATAATCTTAACCGAAAATAGGCAGTTATTGTCGTTATTCAGTATTATCTGTCCAGCAATGTTAAAGTTAGGCATAGGGTACTTGGCAAATGTGCAAAATCGGTTAGTGGGGTATATTAAATAATTAACTAAAGTGGCTAGGACGCCTACCGTTATTCACGAACTCGAATCAAGTCGATAATTTCATACAAAGATTGACGATATGTATATTTCGATAGCAATCAGAAACAATCCATTTGGGGTCAGATTTCAAGCCACAAAATGTCAATGGAACAGTCAATTACTTCTTGGTTGGGGTCCGCGTGACTATCGTAACCAATGGTTAGAGAGTCTGGATGACATGGATCAGAATCGATCACAATGGCATAGGTGTATACACTCTTTGTCTTCCCTTAAACTATGAGATTAAAATCGCTTCATACCTTTGTTTCTACGATCTAATTCTTTCTTCCTGTACTACATCTCGACATAAAATCTTTAAATTGGTAGAACAGGTTAACAGTAGAGCAGATAGTACAACTTCTATTATTAAACGGACCGAGTACGTGTGTTCGAACTGAGAAACGAAACCATTGTTGTTTCAGAATATATCAAAACAAACAATCCTATTAAAATACTTACTCTTGTCTGTAGCATTTATTGTAGGAGCTAACTGTTCCTGTAATTTTTGTAAAGCTTCATTAACAGAATTTCGAAAATCATCCAATATCGTATGTACATTGTTTGATGTGTTTGAAGTAGAAGGTCTTTAGAAGTAAAAAAATACCCAAGAAAACAAATACATGAAACTGAAGACTTAAACATCTTGTAGAAATTTCGATTACATTGGTACAAAAGCCTCGGAAGGCCTTTGTCAACTTGAGATACCCATGATATAGATGAGATGGCTGTTTGTCAACCAAAGGTAGAGTATAGTAGGTAGCAATTTGTTCCGTTCTACTTTACGGTTTTGAAGTGTAACTTTTAAAATATAGTAAGGTACTAGTATTTGAACATGGATGCCTTCTGAGCATTGCTCGTGTATTTTCAGCAGTGCTGAGATCCGATGATGTGGAATACTAAGAACAGTAAAATGGTTGATGACGTGTTTGTGAATTCTCATTGACTGAGTTGGTTGTAAAATGTATTACGTATGTCCAATTACCGCGCGATGATGATTGGTGTAGTAGTAGATTGGAAGGAAGTTAGAGATGGCCTTACACCAAGATGTAACATCGGTTTATCGAGTCAGCGACTGATGGACAGAGCCATGTTGATTATGGTTCGCATGATTATCGTAAGCAAGACTTCGAGTGGTGTGTCTCAGAATCTGTCTCAATGGCCTAGACGCATTCACTATATAACCTCTTAGATAATGAGTCCTAAAAATACCTTATACACTTTTTGATTCATTTATTTATTCTACCTGAATCACATTGGCTATACTCAATTGCTTTTACAACAGCCAACACTGCTACTACTCTGGCATTCGTCTAGATAATTTGATCTCACTGTAGCAATTTCATGCGGTAGCTTGAATTGATGAACACATCCATTGGGCTCTAAGCTATTCATGACAAACTGAACTGGTTTGGTTTTGTCGCACGTAGTTTCCTCTCAAATTTTATCCACTCCAACAACCACAACATGTCGAGGTAAATTGTGGTTCAGGATACGTGAAATATATCATGACCACCTAAGAGACAAACATATATAGCCTCACAAATAAATTGGCCAACTTTTTCTAGTACTCTACGTTATCCCATGATACGTGACCAATATTTCTAAGAAGTTCATGATTAAACGCCTACAGTGTACTACTCACGCTTATCTCTGAATTTAAAGCTCATATGAAACGACTCAGAGCATTATTTGACTTACCCAATCAAACTGAAATCACAGTAGCAAAAAATATAACGTCTGGATAAATATGTAGATTAATTTAAGTTATTGCATTAATACAACGTCAAGAAGAGAGAGGATATTAAGGAAATAGAAATCAATAATTGGTGGATATTAAACAACTGTAATAATAATGATGAATGAGTTGAAGAATATCGTGAGTTGATTGAAGTTAGACATGTACACTATTTGATGCCGACTTAGTAGTCTAAAGGATAAGTGTCACTCGTGAGATTAAAGATCTTGGGTTTGATAACCGGTTGCAATGTTGTGTGTCGGCACTACTGAGTAGTTCCAAACTAAGACGGAACAGCTGTTTAGTGCCTCCAGTTTTCCAATGGTTACATAGCTAGGATCAGCTGATGATCCACACTATGAAGAATCATAATACAATCCAAATCCATAGCATATCTAGCGTCGAAATCGAGGATAATAACATAAATGTTAGCTATTGGATAAACAATTTTTAGTCATATCATTAAAAGTCTCCGACTATGCACAATAGGATTACCTTGTAGACCATAACCAAAACGTTTATACTTACCAACATGACTCAATTCAAAAGTCAATGACTTCATGATATTACATCTCGATATAGCCGAATACCAGCAACTATCGTAATACCCGAATTAGTGCATGAGTATAAATCACCTTAGTTGATGAGCGCCTAGAGTTTCATCAAACAACTAATCAACTTAATCAAATGCATTACGTCTAAACTCACGGCTTAATGAGAATTCTGGTGACCTATGAATAACACTTTCATCTTTATAGATCAAAATATTGCAAACATAGTTGTAGTAGAAAAAGCGAGATGGTTGGGCCACGTGTTACGTATGCCTGAACAACGATTACCACGACGTGCAATGCTAACCGGTGTTCGGGATGGTTGGAAGAAAGTTAGGGGCGGCCATACCAAAACGTGGCATCAGTGGTTGAAGTCACTAACTTGTAATCTGAGCCATGTTGGTAGATGCAGACTACTTGGTTGGGGTCTGCATGACTATCGTAAACAATGGTTGGAGACTGAGAGTGACATGGCTCAGAATCGATCACAATGGAGTAGGTGTATACACTCTCTGTCTCCCCTTAAACTAAGAGATTAAAATCACTTCATATCTTTCTGTCTATGAACTAATTCTTTCTTCTTGTACTATATCTCTATATGCAATCTTTCTTTTATATATTACCACCACTGAATTACCTACTATGAATTCGCTGTTCATCTTGGTGTACTAATGAGTGAAGTATGGCGATTTGGACCGATGCATATATGTGCCTGGTCCTAAGTTGTAACTGACTGACTGACTGAATAAAAAGCAAACACAAGAATCACTCATTAAAAAAATATAACGTAACTAACACAAATACTTACATCATACTATCAGAGACAGATTGTATTTCATCTGTTGTTAACGGAACTATAGGTTCACTATCATTTTCAATGGGTAATGAATTCTCTTCGATAACAACCGTATTGTCATTGCTCATATTATTATTATTATTATCTTTACTATTGATCTCATCATTATTGGCCAAATTGGTAATGATAGTTGTTGTTTTATGTTCAGTTAATAATGGTTTTAAAGTGATTTTTTTCAAATGATGATGTTTACTCTTTTTACGTTTTTTCTTATTATAATCTATTGTATCATGAATATCTTCCGAGCTAATACTTTCTAATTCCATAGTTATTGTTGATGATGAAGATGTATCATTATATTTACGTTTCATAGGATTTACATCAATCATTGGTTGACATAAAGTTTGTAAGACTGTTGATGATGATGTTGTTGTTGATTCTGATGTAATAATAGGTGAATTACGTAGACTAGCAGCAACACGTGTTAAAACTGGTTCACGATATACATCATTTGTAGAAGGTATACGATTTGATTTAATTGTATTATCTATTTTTTCATTAGTTGTAATATTAACATTTGTTGAAGGGATTGTATTGATACTATGAGAAGTTGTATTACAAATCACTTGTGTTGTATTTACAGTATGATTCATATCAATGATAGAATTAGTATCATTAATGAGATTTATTGTTGTTTCAGATGTAGAAGAAGTAGGAGAAGGAGTTTCAATGAATGGACTATGAAAAGAAAACAATTTTGGGTTGATATTTGAAAAAAAAAATTAACCTTTTCCCCACTTTTATCAATTCTTTAGTTTAATTTGAATTAATATCAGAAGGAGTTTTGTGGATATTATAGTTCAGATCATGAGTCAATTGAAGCTAGACCATCATAGAAAACCTGCAAGCAGTGATCGGCGGAGTTCAAACCAGGTCTGTCGTGAGAGAGTAACTCACTAATGACAATGGTGGATATATCGCTCAATTTCGTGGATTAGTTGAAGTTAAACATTAACACCATTGGATACCAGCCAGCTTAGTGGTCTAGTGGTAATGTGTTCGGATCTTGTGAGGCGGGATCGTGGATGCACACTGACGAGGAGTTACACAATAGAACGAAACGGTAGTCCAGTGCTTCCAGGCTTTTCATGGTGGTCTAGCTTGAAGTGAATCATGATCTCAACTATTAAAATTAATTTCAATTATTATGACAAATTTTATGAATAGATGCTTAGTGTTCAGTTCCAATTATTAGAACGAATAGTCAACTAAACAACACCAAACACCTTGGTTGAACATTCACACTTAATTCATTAATTAAAAAAATTATGCAACTAAATCTTGGGATATGAAACGATAGCTTAATGTTCATAAGTACTAAGCTTCCAACTAAAAGGTCACATGTTGGAATCTGGCAACAATGACTTAGTACAAGGAGTGTCATTTTATTTATTTATTTATTTATTTATTTAAACACATAAACATCGGTACACGGAGGCACCAAATAGATATGCGTCACATAAATCCTTAGATTTGTGTGAGCGCTGTGATACTACTCGAGTGCCCAAACCGAAGCAGGTAGTTTTCGTAGGAGGCCACACCCCGAGCCTTTGACCTAAAGGTTTGATCCACAAGGCAGTAGAGCATCGTGAGGAGATGTAGTCCCATGATAGCCGGTGACCAACGATTGGTTCATACACCATTTGTTCCCGCAGGATACTGGAGCCCATGTGCACCATTGGTTTGGAATCCGGTTAAGGCGCCGGACATTCGCTTTTCGTCCTCTCAAGTTCGTAAACAACACCCCTGGTAGGAGAAGGCAGTGAGTAGGACTTCCCTGGCAGAGGCTGTCATTAGTTTTGATTCAAGTAGAATGTATCGAAGTCGAGTAAATAAAATATGTATTTAATCAATGAAATACATGATTACAACAAAGTTTGTAAATTACACGTTCAGATATTTAGATCAGAGACACAATGTTGGTGTTATGGATAGTGAAAATGTCATATCCCAATGAAGATCAAAACTATGAGTAACTTCTGAGAACTGTTCTTATTCTTATTGTTATGGCTCAAAGAGACAGCCGATTATATGACAGTGACTTATCGATCGGATCAAGGATTCAGAATCTCGATAGGCTATTCTGGTCCGTTGTCCCCAACTCTGCTAACTCGATCAAGAAGTCTGGGTAAGGTGTAGAAGTGTATTCTACAGACAAACAGCAGATAACAAGTCAGGCAGGCAGATCAGATCAAGCATACAAGTCAAGCGTATTTATACAATTATTTACAATCGATAGGAAATTTTTAAACATTAATCAATGAGTTCATTAATTGACCTATTTGCGCATTTAGTTGATAGTTCACCAATTGACCTATTTGCGCATGTAATCGATAGTTCATCAATTGACTGCTATTCAAACATTTAATCGATTAGTTCACCAATTGACCCCAATAAAAATATCTAACATTTAATCAATAAGATGATCGATAAGATAAATTTTAAAATATGAGTTTGGGGATCTATCGTCCCCAACACTTATTCAGTAACTAGGTTGTGTGTATCTATATTCCTCTTATTATAACCTTTATTTTGACCTAAAGATTATACGATTTACTGTTCTTAAATTATACTCAGTTTATTAATTAAAGTCTACCACATTCATAACTACTTTTTGGCTTCATCTTGTGTATAAATTTCCTTTTCTATTTGATCCTGTTTGGTTGGAATATAAACCAAGTATGTTTGAAACAAATGATTCATATAATGGAAGCTGTTATTGGTGTTCTGGACTCAACTGGAAGAGCTCGGCGAACAAAGGAACAATAAGGACGCTAAGCTGCTCATACCAGTTGAATGTCATTGGGTTTGCACAGTACTAAGAGTGTATAAGTTGTATTTCGATTATGGCTTAAAGTCACAACAGATAATAATTGGTGATTTGTTATGACGAAGGAAAACGGTATAAAACGCACAAGTGTCTTCTATGGATTTATAATAAGCTGATTGGGACTTTTTATTATCTACCTGTTGTGATTTAAACAATTAATGCGCTATGTAAAAGTATTTATTAGCTTGACTAATAGTGTCTGAACCTTTTATCTATCCTCCCATTAGGTGTAAATATAGATAATCAATAACTTACCCATTATTGATTAACAATATTTCCGGTTAGCGTCTTTTAAACGAGTTAGTTTTCTACAGGATGGGGTCGCTAACCCCATGCCCAACCCTCCTCCTTTATCCGAGCTTGGGACCGGCAGTATCCCCAGAGGAGCTCACTCACTCACTGCCTAATATGCTTATCTCTCTCTCTCTCTCGTGGTTATGGGTTTTATTCATTATTAACAATACTATCTCAATAACTAGTGTTCTGGCTTTTGAATATCCTCAAGTAAATTCATAGTACTACTACAATAATTGGCCTGGTAAAATACTTAGTTAACGAGACATTTTATATTGCAGTCAAATGGAGAAGAATTAACCTATACATGTTCAAAATGACATCTTTCTGTTAAGGACTCATTCATGTCTTTCATCTTTCTAGTATTGACAACAACAAAGAAAAATGAATTAAGATTTGTTTCTAAAAGCTATTCCTTGTGTAAATATATATCGCTGACAATACTGGAGTGGAAAGACTTCAACATGACATACAATAGGAAAACAATGATATTAAGGAATGTTAGGCGGTTAGAGGTGGTAGTTGATCAGAGACCCTAGTCCTAAGTTTCCTGCTAGTTGGTACTCATCATGAGGGAGAACGTGTAATCTTGCAAGAATTGGTATTCTTTCACAGAATAGTAATCATTGTCATGTTTGTTTGGTCAATTTTTATTGATTAAGGTGTGTCTTTTTGATAAGTGTTAACTAGCCTAAAACATAAGTTATGGATTTCTTGAAGTCTACTTTCAACCATGTAATATAATATCACAGTATACTCTACTGGATGTTAATTCACTTAGACCCATGGCTACATTACAATTCGATTAGTATTAAAGAATTGGAAAACCATGAAACTAGAGATCAATTAATTGTAAATATTGACAAATGATCAGATTTACTAGAAACAGAGGGGAAATACATATGAATTCACTTGGTGTCGTTTTACTTGTATCATCCCATTGTTATTTAGAACCGCAATTCATTAGTCTCATGTTGGAATATGTGCATCCTGTGAGGATTGCATCGATATAGCCTTAAATCACAAGCCTTTTAAGCAAAGGTGGACAGTGACTAGCCGTGGAATCTAGGACAAAGAGCGTTTCGTCCTATCTGAGACTCGTCAAATGCATGTACCTGCATCCCAGAGTTGATGTCTACTCCGGACCTCAAACATAGGTTTAGTGAAACCAATCTATTACATGTGTTGAATGGAAGTAACCTCGAGATCACTGTTTGGATTATTTACAAGATACTATAAATACATGAGAAAACATTGATTTCATAAAAATCTTATGTGGTTTGACGGCGGGTTTATCTATTTTATTGTCAGATTTCACCACAAACTGACACTGTTGTTTCATTCGGATTTGAAATTCTCATCGCAACAAACGTTATATACCAACCGCTCTACCTCTCCAAATGCTCTCACATGGCCACGTGTATATAGCCTCTGCCAGGGAAATCTTACTCACTTCCTCCTCGTAGCTGTGGTGTTGTTTGCAAAATTAAAAAGACGAAAAGCGAATGTCTGGCGCTTTAACCGGTTTAGTAAACACGAAGAGTCCACCTAGGGGAGTTGGAAAACCCAGGTTTTTAGTAGTGGTCTAACATCAATCGATTCATGGTCTCAATCAAGAACACTGAATAAATGTCTTATTTTAATTTTGACATTATTACTTGTCAATTATTATTCATAACTTTATCAGTTATTGTAATCAAAAGTTTGATCAACGCTTTCGTAGAGCGTGTTACATAATCACCATTATTAACTGAATCATAACTCGATGATATATATATATATATATATATATATAGTCATACAGTTTATTCATTGACTAACTGATAGGTCGTATGTGACCAGCTTCAAACAGTTGTTTCTTTGATTGTTAAGTCACACACACACTCCAAAATCGTCAACATTCAATTGCCTTTCCTGAGGTATCATCATCGAATAATGACTCTTCCATAGTGTATAAATCAATAGGTCAGTCAGTCGGTAACAACGTAGAACTTCGTACGTACGTACATCAGTTCAAGTTGCCATACTACATAAGCATAAAGATGCAGTTGTCGATTCAAATCCCATAGTGATAGAGATAGTAAGAGTATAAGCAGCAGTCGAAAACATTAGGCTTTGAAGATGTTATTATTCAAGGAGTATAATCCAATGAAATAAATTCCGAAAGAGAAAAAAAAGGAAACATGAAGAATTCAGAAGATTAGAATTTGGGAGATCACAAAGAGTGGATGCACCTGCGCCATCGCAAACGATTTCAACCCATGTGTCATTCCAGGGTCTCCAACCATCAGTTGCTATCATCTCACAAATCCCAACCAGATAGTCTACACCTACTAACATGACCCATCAATAAGAAATTAAAAAAATCTAACCCCATATACACATTGATCATTAATGAATTATTCATAAAGAATAAATAACAATTATAAAATATGATGTCAACTTACAGATAGATGATGAAGAATATCACAAAAGTAGAAACTTATAAAAAAAAATTCTAATCAAAATCAAATTGTATATCATATAACTGAAATATATTCAATGTGTTTAATGC